GAGATTTCTCTGATTGTTATCTTCGATTTTGCCAGGGTTATCCAGCTCCATATAAAACTGTGTCGGCACGAGCTGCAACTCGATCCACCATCTTACGCTTACCTGCTTCAGCCTTCGAGTCAGTGTTTAAGAAATACCCTGAGACACTTGTACGCGTCATTCAGGTAAAAGAGTGCATGATGTGTTGAGTGTTTGTTTTTTCTCCAATTAAACATCTAATTTGGATGTAGCTACAACATGATATTATAACATGATAGTATATTCTGCTGGGGTTTTTGTGTGTGTGTGTTTTCCCCCATGTTTCAGATAATTATGGTGCGCCTCCAAAGAGTCACCTTTTTGGCTTTGCATAACCATCTGGGCCTAACAACTGAGCTTTTCAATCCAGTAGGAGGAGATTTAATTAGTGCACACCTACAGTATTTATGTGCATACACATGGTCACGATGACTGTGTCACACGACTTGTTATGTGCTTGTGTATCAACAGGCATAGAACACACACACACGCACAGGCTAATTTCGCACAACATTAAGCACAGCAATATAACCTGGTCCATCATAGATCATAGAAAATGCATAAAATAACACTTCAACAGAAACAGGGAGCAGTAACATATATATCTGACTTACCTCTGCATTTATGATTATTAAATCTAATCTTTGATTTAGAGTTAGGAAATTTATTTTTTAAAAAGTCCATATTTCAATGTACTATAAAAATCTTTAGATTTTAGTTATTCTATATTTCAAACTAGCCTTAAACAGATTAATTCATAAAATAATATATTGTTGAATGTGTGGTAGTGACATTATTGGTGACTGTAAACTGTTGATGAGGAATATACTTCATCTGTACAGAGCTCTGTTGCATATTTTAAAAGAAATTATTTAAAATTATTTTAACTTGATATTTGCTACACAGTTGTAATTGCCAGCAAACCTTTGAAGATTACCTATCCCATCCATATTTGACTCATCATTGAAAGATTATTCTCCACTTCCAGGACGAATCACCTGCCGGAACCACTGAAAACACTGCAGAGACAGGTCAAGCACACACACAAACATGCACTACATGCCGTTCAGTTTCAGCTTTGTCTTGTATTGAAACTGATCCAGTGCTGGCACTGACTTTGTATTAAACAGATGGTGTAAAGGACAGCCATTCAACCAGGAAGCTGCGATCTACCTCTATGCCCACTGAATGCACAGGTGGGTCACTGCCTTGGACATAAGCGATCATCAAATGCCACATGGCTGTATTAATTTCCTGCACAGATGTACTCGTTATCCTAATCCTTTGTTTTCTGAGTTACAGGTAATGACCTGAGCATGGCCTGCGAACGAGCTCGAGTTACCATTGAGGAGGCTCCATCAAGTCCTATCACTCACAAAGTAAGGTCTGCTTTTTACATTGAAGCGTGGTGACAGGTCTTGTGTGTAAATGTAACACAATAGCACAGTATCTGCTGCATCTTACCTACTTCCTCCATAGTAGTTTCTCTCCTGTGCCTGTCTTTGTAGTCTAGTCTGAAGAAGAGTGTGACAATGCAACACACACCATCTGAAGTATTTCACTATACAGACAGCGGAGGGCACGCTGATGCTACCTATCTTGGTAAAAGCAGTGCAATCCTCCAAGCTGCTAAGAAAGACCTGCTGGGAATCATCCAGCTGCAGGTGAGGGGTTAATTGGAGAAAATTCAGCTGGTGTCAGTGTTCTGATCCTTTCAATGCACCCTTTTAAATTTATTTTTGTGGCATGTTAAGTGTTAAGTGACTTGAACTGTGGACCCCGATCGGACACAGTTTCTTGAGGTATGCCATGAAGGCAAAGCAACACATGATCCATAAGCAGTCTCACCGTCTCTAAAGCGGTGGGCAATTTGGGCAGAGCAACAAAATGTGCAGCCTTGGAAAACCGGTGAGTATGGTGGTGTTACCTGAAAATGATTACAGTCCAGTTATGAATTCCAGGGCGATGTGCGACCAGAGCCTCCTCGGGATAGGTACGGGCCTGAGAAACCCAGCAGGCAAAGAGTTGGACGTCTTATTCTGTGCACAGGTAGGGCAAACAAAATCATGGACATCCAAAGCAAGAGATGGCCACCAGAACAGACGTTGTAAAACCGTGCGGTGTCCTGCTGAGTGTTTCTGTTCAGGGTCTCTGTCTCCCATGTGAGAGCCCCAATAATGCAGGCCGCAGGCAGGATAGCCCTCTCCAAGGTCTCACCTGATGAGGAAAGCACATGTGGCTTCACATTTGGGAGCTGGGTCTGTAAGGAATGGTTAGGTTGAACTGAGTAAAGGACAGAGCCTGCATGGCCTGACGGGAGTTGAGGCATTTGGCTGCTTGCAAGTACTCAAGGTTTTTGTGGTCCATCCAGATGACCACCCGCAGTTATCCTTGCTCGACAATAAGAAAAAGAAAAGCGACCGACTGTAGGTGGAACTCACATTTCTCTCCTTTGACGAAAAAGTCAGTTCTCCAACAACTGTTGTAGTACCTGGCAGACGTGTCCCTCATGGTCTGCCAAGATCAAAATGTCATCCAGGTACACAAAAACACAGTGATTAATGAAATCTCTCAACACGTCATTCACTAGGGCCTGAAAAACTGTGGGACCATTGGTGAGGCCAAAAGGCATGACCAGGTACTCAAAATGTCCCAGGTGCATATTTAATGCTGTCTTACACTCATCTCCCTCCCTGATCCTGACCAAATGAAAAGCATTTCTTAATTCAAGCTTAGTAAAAATGGTGGCCCCTTCAAACAGTTCAAAGGCAGAAAAAAGCAACAGCAGGGGGTACTTGTTCTTAACAGAGATTTTGTTTAACACCCAAAAGTCAATGCATGGACAGAGAGATTCCAAGTGGGGACTTGGAGGGGCGGATTATTCCGGCAGCTAGTGAACTGGTTATGTATCAATCAATGGCCTCCTGTTCTGGCTTGGAAAGACTATACAGGTGACTGGTGGTGAGAGGCGCGCCAGAAAGCAGGTCTATTCCATAATCGTAGGATCCATGCGGAGGAAGGGAGAGAGCTCAGTCCTTGCTAAATACAACGACACAAACAGAGGACAAATCAGGAACTGTGATCGGTTCAGATGGAGTGGATGGCGAGACACTGGGAGTGGCTGAGTGCAAACAGTTCTTATGGCACCACACGCTCCAACCCGCAATACAACTCTTGAACCAATCTATCTGTGGGATGTGTGTGTTTAACCAAAGGTAACTGCATCCCTACGTTTACCGAAGGGCCTGCTATTTTGGCCGAGCTGGGCATGAGTCTGCATAATGTCCTTTTTTTCCCACAGAAGAAACACTCCCCGTTCACTGCCTTTGATTCCAGTCCGAGCGTGAAAGTCGGGCCCGGCTGAGCTGGATCGGTTGCTCCTCTTTCCAGCAGCCTCCCACCTCTCGGGGCTCTGTCCCTCAGAGGCAACCTCCCAATGGAATCGACAGAAACCGGCAGCTTGCCCACTGTACTCCTGGATGTGGCCATCCATCTTAACACACATTGATAATAATGCATCCAGTGATTTAGGTAATTCTTAGGGGACAAGTCACACTTTAAGTCTTCATTAAGGCTATTGAGAAAAGCCCCTCGGAGACCATTCTCCCCCCACCCCGTCTCCTCTGCCAAAATCCAAAAGTCAGTGTAGAAGTCCACCAAGGCTCTCTTGCCTTGCCGTAGGTGGAACATTTTGTGTGTGGCAGCATCTGGGCT